TGTACCCTCCTTACTAGAAAAAGCCATGAATCCTTGACATCTAAAGAGGTCATTTCATCCTTGTTACTCTAAGTCGCTACCCGTTAGTTTGACCTGCTACCTTGCAACGTGAGAGAGCCTTGTAGATACTGCATCAACTAAAACTTCCTTTTGTCTACTAAGAAGATAGCAATGAGATGTGCTGGACACACTACGAGGTAGAGCAATAATCCATGTGTGAACCACATCATACATCGTCAGATCAACTGCCGAGCTGCTAGGCTTGATACTATCGAAAACGACTTTGTGACCGCATTTTTGTAGCTTCCAGACATGCTCTTTGATTGTCAACAAACCAAGTTAAGGCTGATTAATCTTGCGAAGAATGTGAATCACAATGTCTGAAGTCCATTTAATGGGTCGTGACAGTGAGAACAAGCACTATCTGGAGAATTATTGCTGGGATTGTGAGGTATTGTCACAGTTTAGTAATGGTCTTTAACATGGCGTCTACAGTCTCGGTGAGTTGGACCCCAAGCTGCCATTGCCGTGCAAAGGAGGTTATCCTCACAGATTGTTGTGCAGTTGGATTGAGTGTTTCAATCACAAGTTGTATTTCAGGTTGGATTTTTTTGAGTACCACTGCCATAACAATGGCCAAGAAGAACTTGAGGCAGAAATGCGGGAACTAGAGTACGAACAGCCTCGAGACTTCTAGCTCGACCGCATCGATCGGTTCTGCGAAGAGTTTGGGAGATTTTGAAAGAATCGTGCAAATGAGTACGTGAATTCACCGCATCAGATCTTGCCTCTTGTATCGTTTCACAACAAACTTGTTCACTGTTGATGAGTTTTTCAACATCCAGGATAATAAATTTTTACAAACCATGTCCTAGATTCCAGGAAAGGCGAGCGAGAAGATGCAAAGAGCTTGGTTGCTTCAGACTCTGTATTCGATGAAGGAAAAATATGCTACTGCGGCAGGTGCGGCGTCCAATTCCTTGGGGTGCCGGAATTGTGCAAAAAAGTGCCGCACTTGGTTTGGGCCCCGGATTATTTTAATACGTATTTTTTGATACATTGAAAAAAATATACATATTTTTGTATCTTCTTGATTAGTTAATTTTAATAGTGGTGATAATTATATATATATATATATATATATATATATAGATACGTATTTTTTGATACATTGAAAAGATACTTTCTTAATTTTCTTAATAATATTTGTTCCATGACACTCTTTATTTTAATATTTTTTAATAGAAATAGGATTTATAATATAAAATGATTAAAAATTAATTTTTTTATTATATAAATAATGTTAGTTTAGAAAATAGTAATTTGCAATATATGGCCTACCATTAAGTAGTAGTTTTTTTTGTAAATTTTTTATATTATAAGTTTTTTTTGTGTAAGTACAGATGAAATATGTTTTAAGAAAATTTATAATGGGGTTTTGTAATATGAAAAAAGGTTCTTGACAAGATACCAGCAGAAATTAGTATTCAAACATTGGATATTGACCGGTGAGCAACTAATAAGAACGCAGCAGTGGGAGGGGTGTATAATTAGCAACGGAGAAGATCTATGATAGTTCTGTAGGGTGCAATCAATCAATCAAGAGTGGGTGAATAAAGAACATAATCAGCAGTCTAAGTGGGGTGCACGTAGTGTGTGATCGGAGTTTAGTGAGAGTGTAGCAAAGGAATGTTTACGAGATGTGATTGAGCCAATATCAATGAAGAGGGGAGACAATTAGCTACAAGAGTGAGAGCAATCAGCATAGTACCAACGTGTAGTGTGTTAAGAGTGTACCCAAATCGCTAAAAGAAATTGTGGTGCAGTGGTGTGAGCACTAAAGAGGGTGTTTGGCGAAGAAGAAATTTAGTGTGGCAATAATGATACAAAGGGAAGACAACTCTGAGACTAGACGAAGAAGGGTGTCGAAGAGCGGAAAAGCTGAATGAGAGAATTAAGCACCAAAGAACAGAACTACTGTGGGGTGGCAAAGGAGAGCAGAGAAGAAAAAAATATATGTAGTAAGGCTGAGAACAAACTCAGATCCAATGCTGATGAGAACAAATTCAAAGCAGTTCGGTGCAAGGAAAATCAGAAAATGGGAGTGGGCGAAAAACAATGGTAGTGCAACTACAGTAGCTAATTATTGTATTTTAGTGAACCTTATTAAAAAAAAGTTGTTGAAGTTGTAAATGCTAAATGATTTTTGTATCCATAATTTTTTAATCCTACATTATATTAATAGACAAGAGCATGTTTGTCAATGAAAGATGTAGCCTTTAATGTACAAAACATGATATTGGAGAAGAAGAATGAGTCAAGGGAATATAATCTGAAAAATAATATGTGATCCAATTCCCTTTTTATAGATTGGGTTCTATTGACATCTTAACCAAAATTACATTATAAGTTTTCCAAAACCCCATTATAAGTTTTCTTAAAACAACTGATGAACAACTCAAATAGTTATCGGTTTTTATCATTATTATAATTATTGAAACAACCAATGTACAACAATTCCCCGAAAAAGCAAAAAAGACGAAGAAACAAACCTTGGTTTTTTTAATCACTTAAAATTCACCTTAATAACAACCTTTTTAAAAACAGTTTCTTCAAATCCATTTTGATACCTCTATTATCTCCCCCACTCTTCCGACACCTTTTAAGAATCACATCATAATAGTACAGTTCATTTTGCTTCATTTTGCTTCATCTTGAAGTAAACAAATCTTCCCTCTTTCCGAGAATCTCGACGGAAGCGTCAGCCGAAGCAACGCATTAAGTTCACCAGTGGATCGACAGGTCTAGCCCCCCAAAACCCTATTTACTCATCTTCTTATTATTTTTATTATCAGCCTCATGATCATTTTCACAACGATGTCAAACTTGTAGGAACTGGATTCAACATGATGCCGTGCCGCTCTTTCGCAGTGTGTTTGCTGCTTCTTACACTGCCGTCTACTCTACGTTGCTCACTACCTCGCCACCATGCCGCCCAAATTACCCCTCGCACAGGGTTTCGGTGGTGCTAGTTGTCGCTCCCAACCTCCTAATTTGGCTATGCTTTTGACTTTGCGATCAGCTGCGACGCAGCAATAATGTTTCTATTTTATTGAAAACCTGATGTTGGCGGAGAGCCTGTTGTGTGGGTCTGGGAACTCCATGTTGACCCTGAATCATTCTGTCCCATCTCCTCTCAGCTGGGCCTGTCGCTTTCCTCGTAGACCTCCCGCGCTGGTGCAGACAAATCCTCGTGGCTCAGATCCTGCATGTGTGTGAGTGACTGCGCTTGAGCTTTTCCGGTGTCGTGATGGGTGCCTGAGGAGCATTCTTCTACGAGGTTTTAAATTCTCAGTGAAGGGATGGTTGAGTTCCCTGGAACTATACTTGTCAAGCTCTCCGTTCTATATTGCCTCATCGATACAACTTCTAATGTTCTTCTTAGCTCAACTTATAAGTTTTCTCTCTGTTTGTTTCAGGCACCCGTGCTTGATCAGAACCCAAATCAGCAGACAGAATAGTCACTTTTTGATGGGGAGAGTACTGTACGTTCTCACCGTGCTGGCAACCCTCTTTAGTGCTTGCCATGCCGAAAAAGGAAATGCGACTCTCAATTACGTGGAAATTGTTGAAAGTCAGGTTTTGCTGATTGCACGTAATTCTGAGGATAACTTCAATCGCTCTTGTGGTAAGCATGCTCACATTTATCTCCTTCAATATGTGCCGATTAGTAATTATGCCTTGGATGTTTTAGGATGTGCATTTTGTATGAAGACAAGCTACAATTCGAGAGGTTTGCGATGGCTGAGCCTGTGAATTTGAAAAGTAACACTACAGGTTCTTCAGCATGCTCTTGAAATCTTGTGTTTATCATTTTTGCAGAACTGGTGGCGTCATGTAAAGGTAACTGCTCCAGGCAATCTTGTCTCCCAGTGCAAGACGATGAAGAGGGCTACAAGTGCGTAAGCGTTGCCAATAACACTAACTGTTACAATGAGGATGGCAATCTGGGGTGTCAGATAATTCGCGTCTCATTCGCGAAGAGCTTCATCAGGTATGACTCCAGTCAAGAACACCAACAGGACTAATTTGCTCCATTAAATGGTCATTTCTATCTCTCCGAAGAATCATTGAATCTGACTGCTTGTTATGTGAGGTTCCGAAAGTGTCCGCTCTTGAATTTATCCATGGCGATTGAGTGTAATGTGTAGGATTCCGACGGGTTCAGATGATCTAACAGCTGAAGCTAATACCACCATTTGCTCTCAAAGGAATCTGGACACCATTTTCAAAAACATCTCATCGACTCACAATAGACTGAATCTAACATCTTGGGCTTACTTCGCTTCTGTGGAAGGCGTCCAGCGATCTTTTCCGGGTCTAGTATGTCTTCACATCCCCCTGTACGAAATCGTTTTTTTTTTTGTAATGTTTAAAAATGTCCTGAAACTTAATCCCATGATTGAAAAAACTAGTTTATTCTTCCAATTCTTTTTGAAAGATATCTCGTGCTGCAGGATGTACCCCTGGAAAAATGCAATTTTGAACCACGAAAGCGTCCATGGTAAGTAGCATAGATGTTTCTCCGCCTTTGGGAAAAGATTATAATGCAGAAGAGCTACATTGTGATGCAATGATTATTTGAATGTTTCTTTCGGTCCTGACATTCTGATAATCAAAAATTTCATTTGCAAGTTATTTAGCAAGAAATTTTCGAATTTATTGTCCTTGTGAAATTCCTGTAGTAGCGATTGTTTTCGCACGAAGTTATTACTGTGAATGCGTAACAGACTAAGTCGTAGTTCATGTATATTGGATGGAAAACCTTGCTTTCACGATACAGGTTCATGGGAGTGACTGCAGTGGAGAAGGATGTGATTGTGCTTCTTGACGTTGGGAATTCCATGGGTGATAAACTTCCTGGCGACCTGTTGGTCCCCTTAAACCAAAGCAAATTGGACGTGTCCGTGGCTCTTGTGGTCGAGCTTCTGGACACTTAAGCGTATGGCGATCGTGTAACCGTCATCACTTTCAATAAATCAGGGGCAAGTGCCGTCCTCTCCCCTGTAAGTATCCACTTTGACATTAAGTTTATCCAAGAGCCCGCGATTATGACATGTCAGCCTTCCAGAGAAACTCTGCTTTTCATTCTTTTCGTAATGCACTTACTTAAAATGCCTTGGCTCTTCAGTTTCTACATGGATTGCTTGCATGTTTCGCAGATCACTGTTGCTTCTAACAACTTGGCACTGCTGAAATCTGCGCTCCAAGGCAACGTAACATTTGATATTTCGCAGGGAGACTCCAATCTGACAAGTGGGTTCGTAAAGGCGAATCAAACGTTTGAGAACACTCCCGTGCTTAGGGTATGATCTTCAGAATCAGTAGCTTCGAACATAATTTGTGCACCATTTTCCAAGGCAATTCAAATTTTTGGTTCCCGTTTCTTAAGGTTGCTGAATGCCATGTTGTAACGACAGGTCATACTGACAATCACCGACGGCCAAATTATGCCTGTAAATTCAACAGAAACTTTTGTCTCCATTCGCTCGATCAATTCCTTGGTTCAGATTTACAATTTCGGCCGAAATTCTCCAGTTGAGACTCAGTTAAAGGAACTATCCTGTTACTGCAATGGGACTTACGAACAGATAACGAACGCAGTCAAAAACCCTCTTTGGACACTCCGGTCCTATTTCGGTATAGTAGCAAGGCTCTGGCTAACTGCACTCAACGACAGGCCGTATTGGACCAAGCCTTATAATGACAGTGGAAGCCTGGGGAATGTGATCACAGTGGTATATCCAGCTTTTGCTGACAACTACACACTCATCGGAGTAGCCGGCATTGACGTTCTTCTCAACGAGCTAAAATCTATTGACACATCTGAACTCACATCAGTGTTATTACCACATGCCCTTACGGAACCGCTTGTAAAAGGGCAGCCCCAACTTCCCTGCAATGTAACTCCTTTTTCTGACCCTCATTTAATTACATATTCTTGTAACAGATTCCGCTAACCTCATTTTGATCTCTAAGGCAAGTATCTGAATCACGAAGGCTTGAATTTTGACAGTTTGCGTTGAAGGCAAATCAGTGCAATGAACCAGGTGCATTGTCAGATGCATTGTGCCTGAATACCGACAAGAGCGGCCTCAGTTTCGAGCAACGTTTTTGCAACTGCTCTGGAGTTTGTTCTCCAAAAGTAATCAACCGAAAGAGCTCCCTGTCACCAGCTTTAATTGCCGGGATTGGAGTCGGGGTGGGAATTATAGTTATGGTGGCTTTTGCCCTATTCCTACTACTTGCATGGAGGTCCCCATCAGCGAATTCTAAAGGTTGGGAGAGTCAATCTGTGAAAGAGTACACACAGAAGCAGCTTGCTGCTGCAATGAATAACTGGAGAAGCTATAACGTTATCGGCGTCGGTGCCCACGGCGTGATCTTTAAAGGTAAACTCCCGGACGGTACTCCAGTTGCGATCAAGAAGCCCAAAAAAGACCTCAAGCAAGTCGAACTGGATACATTTTCCACGGAGCTGGAGTTTCTCTCCAAGCTGAATCACACACATCTCGTGCGGTTGTTGGGTTATTGCAAGCAGGAGACAATTCTTATTTACGATTATATGGAGAATGGATCGCTCTATGACTTGTTGCTCAAAGATTCAACTCGAACAAAGCTCAACTGGGAGATGAAACTGAAGATCGGTTTGGGAGCTTCGATGGGACTGCAGTATTTGCACGAAGGTGCAGCGCAGAAGACATTCCATGGGGATATCAAAACTGCTAATATCTTGCTGAAGCGTGAATTGCAGGCTCACATCTCGGATTTTAGGCTCTCCCTTTGGATTAAAAACGACAAGGATTCATTCCTGCTGGCAAGCCAAGCTTATGGAACGATCGGATACGTAGACCCGAACTTCACCTCCAGCGGGCAAGTTACTCGCGCCAGCGATGTGTACAGCTTCGGCATTGTGCTCATGCAGTTGATTAGTGGCAAGGGGGTGGTGGTAGAGAACAGAAACATCAAAGACTGGGCGAGATGTTTTGAGGAAAAGGAGGCTCTAGACAAGGTCCTGGATAAAACCCTTGAAACACCGGAATATGGTGTTGGTGTGTTGGTGGATGTCATGAAACTTGCACTGACGTGCACTTAGCCTGAGAACCAACAACGACCTAAAATGAAAGAAGTGGTGTCAAAGTTGGACCACGCTTTAAATCTCTGGGCGGAGCGGGAGGAAATTCTGTCTGAGGAAAGCTATGACTCTACCAATCAACTGAGATGATTGTTGAAGCAGCTCGATACTACTGGCTCCTTTACTAATGCCAGAACTTGCACGAATTGCAGCATCAAATTTTACTCTCGATCCTGGTCCACGATGATGAAAGGAAAAAAGTATCGAATTTGTTATTGATAGGCTCCGACTTCCATTAGTTTCTCCTCTTGATTGTAATTTTATAGTTGAATCTCAACCTATCATATCGTGGAAGCTCCTATATATTAGGGAAACGTTATTACGAATTAAAAATTTTAAAATTTTACATTACCGCTTTATTCTTCTCATTGCGTGTGATGTCCCACCAGTTAGAGTTGCACATTTAATTTGAGATGCCGATGTGCTCCTTTATCTGCTGTGCGGATCCCATCGTGTGTATCGCAAAGGAAAGTGTTAAGAACTTGTGCTGCTTCCTGTTCAGAATTTGAGTTAGCAGATTGCCGAGTAAGCCATCGCAGCGATGCTGCATTTAAATAGCATCGATCGCAGGGATGTAAAGAGGTTCAGAGAGCAAAACAGAATGGTAGAGTTTCGAGACTAGACGCGAAGCACTTTCAGTGATTGAGGCCATAGCCACATGGATAGCTGTCAGAACGAGGCTGTGACCATCACGAGATTGACGAAAAAGGTGGATTCCAAGCTGTCGAGCCCTGGTAGCGCCACACAAGCTTCCTCTTCTTCGCTCCACTTGGCCCCTTCTCCTTGGCGCCCAGCGAGGAGGTCTCAATCTGAATCGCAATGACTCGAATGTGTACTACCTATGAGGTGGTTGTAAAGCTTGCAAAATAAACATAAAGCATGAAACTGTGTATATGAAGTCTCTGTATTTGAAGATGACCAGCTTTGCCGTCAAGTTTTTTCTCGAGAGAGTTCGAAATCAGTTGATCAGGAGACTGGTTGTCTTTAAAGGTGCAGCGGTTCATATGCGAGAACTTTAGAGGTTTTGCTTCAAGGGTCGTTGACTTTGCTGCAGTATTAGGTTTTCAAGGTCTGTGGACTGAAGGTATTGAAGGTCAGTGCAAGTGCAGCAGACTCATTGTTGTTGTGCTTCGGCAGGGAAGAGCTAGCAATGGTCGATTCCAATATGGGTGAGTTTCTTGAGCATGTTTTTCAGCAATCCGATGCCTACTGGAGTTGCTCGCATGCTTTCTTGTGGCGGTGAACTACAGTGTTAAACGTCTTAGCATTTGTCAGACTAGCCTGCTAGACTGCCCAATCTTACTAGAAGCTCGGTACTCATTAGAGAAACCGGACTTGACGGCTTGCCATATTTCCATGAACATGAAGGCAGATTTATTAGCGGATATTAACCACATGAGCTTGTTGCTTTGCGGTTCAATCCCGCAGTTTACTTGATGCGTAATGTAAATAAACACCAATTTGCTTAGATTTCAATTCTGTTTCTTCTCCATTGTCATCGAGGTCGGAATACTGAAACGAGACGCGCAGGAAAGACTGGGATGGACAGTGTAGACAAAAATAAGCAGCTGGGGCGTCTTGCTACGAACATCATTCCACACATAACCTGTGAGCAACACCCCCTTTTTCCTAGATAAGAGAGTTGTTTCAGACAGATTCACATGCCAGATAGCTGCTGTGTCCGTAAGTGAGGAGAATATGAAGGTATTGGAATAACTTAGGCTTTCTGTTTCTGATGGTTAGAATTTCCTTGCTTTGCATCATTTGTGCGATGTAACAGGTACAATTGCACAGCAACAGCAGCTGACTTTGATATATACGCTCCGAATGCAACTTTCGAGGATCCCCTAATGCAAGCTCACGGGTAATCTGATGCTCAAACCCTGTTGTCATGCCTTATGAAAGAGTCTCGTATGATCATTCTTTCCATTCTTTCACACTGACCGTGAATAAAACCTTGAGTGGATAGTAGTTGCTTACGATCTTTCAGAGCTTTGCATTCAATTAATAATTTCCGAACCTTCCACTTTGTGCACTGCTATTGCAAATGTTCAAACAGGAACGCCATTTTTCAGATTGAACGTTCATAGCAATTCTAATATCCTGGTCGACATGGTTGGTATGCAGTGTGGCGCAGATCAAGTCTGCTTTCTACGCTATTCCCAAGGTAATTTTACCCTTTAATGCTGTTGACCCATCCGTTTAAGCTTCGAAGCATCGTCATCATCCGTCTATCTTGTTGAATTGTATGAAACAAATGGTTGAGAAACTGCAGCGTGGTGTTCAGTTTTACAGCTCATAGCCCTTTCTTGAGAAACTCATGAGCTCGACAGCCTGTGAAGTTGAGGATATTTGCTCATGTAGAAACTGACTAGTGAAGAAAGCTTGCAGGTTTTCAAGGAAGGCAGAATCGTGGAGTATACAGTAGAGGAGGAAGAAAAGACTCCTACTTCGGGAGAGGTACTATTCTCATGTCTTGATGCACCATTTCATCAATTTCTTTACCACGTGTAGCCTCAATCTTTTACGTGGAGCCTGATCACCGGCATCCACACGTTTTGTGCTGCTATAAATAACTGCTGTGTCGTGGCAATGGCAGATCCGGCTCCATAACTTGCAGCATTACAAGGTCATGTCCAAGCATATCGAAATGCGCTCACTCATAAAACTTCAGGTTAGTGAGCTTCTCTAAAGTTCTATGCATGTTTTGCTCACAATTTGAATCCGAGATGCCAATCGTGCACATGCATTTCAAGTCCAACAGGGTGTTAGTTTTCGAATGTGTATAGATTGCCTCAGTTTATTTTCCGTCCGAACCACACTTCCTTATCCCAGATGATCATGTTTGGCAGGTTGAAGGAGGAAAAGTAGTGAGGCATGAGGACCTGTAAGTGAATGCACACGCAACCCGATCTGATCCTCATCAGCCTCTTCCATGTGCAAATGATCTCGTCATGTTGGAAACTCACTTCCTAAATCACACTCTAGTAAGGTTAAGGTGAATCTGACAAGAACGAAAACCTTCCTGTGCAGGTGGGACAAGAACCCATTGTGGAATCGAAACACGGTGAAGCTACCGCTGGTGGGGCGACTGGCAGAAACATGGCGTAGGGGTAACATGATGGCCACCCATGTCTGCATGGGCTTCGGCAAGGATCGCTAGCGACCTTCAGAAACCTGTATGCGAGGGACTCGTACTAACTAGTGTCTATGCGGCAGGCTCATGCCATTGTAATGATCGCACGAAGATACACTGTTCATCTTTTTCTTTGCGTTCACGAGTTACAGTCCACTGCTTCCCACGACGTTAGATCAAATCACGTCACTCCAAAAACAGTCACGGATTTGACTACTCTGCATGTGTCTTGCATGTATCTGGTTGGCTTTTGCGCTCAGTTTGTTTTCACCCGAATGTTAGAACGGTCTAGACAACGCAATCGAACCATCGTTCTCTAGCTGATTCTAGGCCAGTTTGTTACGTGTCCACACTCTTTCACCACATGCTTTGTGCGACCAACATAGCGTCTCTATTCAGTTGTGAAACACAAAAAGAAAAAAAGTATTCTAGAACATTCATGTGATGTCCATTGCAAGGGCATCGAAATAGCCATCTACGTTACACCGAAGGTTTCGACTGCTCCCAAGTGCATACCGTTCACTGTCCCAGCTATTATTTTAGCGGCAAATGAGCTGGCTTTTCAGGGAACTATAGAATTACGCAACAAGTGAGATGCAGCAAATCAGCATACCTTGAACAAAAAAACATATCGAAAATAAAATAGTTGTATTTTGAGGGAAGAACTAGCTCAGCTTATACACTGATGACGCCCTTCTGCAAAAAAATTGTGTTTTAGATTACGTGGACCACGCCTTGCTGTGCACACTATACATCAGGCTCCGATGATTCTATTGTCAACGCTCGGAATTCATGGCCGCCCTCTTTCTCTCTGTACGAGCGACATGCCACTCTATCAAGGTGTTGAACTTCAAGTGGATTGCATTGAAAATTCTGTGGAGTAGAAGACCGATCATATTATCAACATGGAATCAACTACTAGCTTGTTGAAATGAAGCAATAGAATAGAATATAATTTGTAGAAGATATTAATGTACAGACATAGAGCTTCATAAGGCTACCTCTAGTCCAAATTTTTTAATAACTAAAGAAATAAATTATTTGTAGAAACCTAAGTCATTTATATTGGAGTGCTGTTTTTTTACTCACAATTGAGATTTGTTTTGAGTATTTCTAATTTCACTTGTATTTTTTTTAGTAAAATTTTCCAACCAAAATTTGTGGACTTCTTATGCTAACTTTAAATTGATATAGTTTAGGAGATTTTCTTGCTATAATTGACTTTCTTCCATTGGTTGCTACTTAATTTTTTATACAAATATTCCAACATATTTTGTATGTATATTTAGAACATCAATATGTTTTGCAATTATGTAGTTGTTATTCAATCATTAATAAAAATTTCTATTGAATATTTTAATCTATATTTTAATGAATTCCACATTGAATGCATCTCTTTAGTATAATTTATAGAATATGACAATTTGGGCTCTTTACATTTATGTAGTCATTAGTGAGACGATTAAAAAGAAGATTGTCATGTGCAATATTACTTACAATATTTTGTCCAAGTTGAAGGTGCTTCATGAAAGCCATGTAGTTGAAATTAAGCACTTGCAACAAGCAATTTTCTTTTCATTTTTTAGATGAATTTAGCTCATAAATTGTGATCCATATCAACATGATTGAATCCATTGCTAAACAACTAATAGTTTTAGGTGAAAAGACCAATAATGCAAGCATTCTTACTAATATCATTTACATGGTATAAAGTGAGTTTGAGGAGTATTGACAATTTTAAAAACTATACCTATAGATAAGCAAACTATAGAAAAGTTCTAAGTTCAACTTTTAAAATAAGAACTATTTAAGAAGTCTACAAGTGATATTAATGAAAGCAACTTACAAGCATTATGTGGCCAATGTAAGAAAATTTGTGAATTTGAAAAGAAATCACAAAAGTAAATAAAGAAGTTAAATGCATACATCAAATACAAGAAATATGGTGAGATTGGATAGTAGGCCAATGATAATAAGTGCTTAAAGAAGTGTAATAAAGAAAAGCAAAATCAAAAGGTGAAGCAAGGATTTGGCAGCCAAATTAGCAAGTTATATAGAAAGCATGGTATTTGCATGAATAAGTCTTATTGGATCTAATGAGTTATGGTGTATTGATAGCATTTCTAGTGAATATATGACTAATTGAAGTAGGTGCTTTAAAACATGAAATCCAATTCTAAAAGATGCATGGATTGTGACAATTGTTGTTAACAATAAGCTATGGAGATTGGCAAGTTGTGATATCACCATTATATATTGGATGAATGAAAAATTTAAAATAAGAGTCTTCAAGAATATCTTCTTTATTTCTAAACTAAAGAAAAATTTATTTTTATTATTAATTGGTCAATCTATTCACAAAATAATTGATACAACTTACTTAAGAGATGATTGCATAATGATTGATTACAATAGAAGCGTAGTAATTGAAGGAGTTTATAAGTTAAAGCTCTAAAAGTTAAAGAACCTTGTGGTTATTTTAAATATGGTAAATTTTTAAATGGTAGTATTAAAGGATTATCATTAATAAATGTTGTCAACTTCATAATAGAATCACCTTTTGCAAAAGAAAAAGCCTTACTATAGTAATTAAATTTTAATTTGGATGCAATTAAATAGATATGTTAAAAAAAAAATCAATGGGCTATATGTGAGATTCAAAGAGCCCATTGATGCTTTTTGTGAAGGTTGTATGGTCAAAAAGCTACACCAATTTATATTTAAAGAAATTAATGTTCATTAGAGGTCTACAAAGCTTCATGAGAAATTCTAAGTTGATGTTTGTACAATGAATAAGCACTCTATGAAAAGAGCTAAATACTTTGTTCTTTTAAAGCATGATTATATAAGATATTCATTCATCTACTTTATTAAAAAGAAATCAGATGGATTTAATTATTCAAAGAAGCTAAAATTAGATATAAAATAAGATCTAAGAGGCATGGTTGAAGTCTTAAATAATGATGTGAAGTTTATTAAGCAGCTAATGACAAAAAACAAAGTGGATATATTGCAATTTTTCTTTTAAGTATTTATTAGATGTTTTTATTTAAGAAGAGGCTAGTGAAAGTAATAAAAGACATATTGAATTAGTTTTTTCTCATTGAGATTTTTTAGCTAATAATTTGGAAGGTTCAAACATAGAGTGATATATTATCAATAAGAAAGTAAAAAAATATTTTAAATCAATCTAATTAATAACACATCTACATATTCTTGAAGTATAGATATCATTCAAATTATACAAATTAGTATAAATTCAAAACAAATAGGATCAATGTAAAGGTAAAATTTATCTTTTAATACAAATTATAAGACGGCCTTAATTAAAAAATATATTTAATTAATAGAATAAAGTGAGAAAAGCAAAGATCAAGAATAAAAAAGAATAATATAAAATAAGTGAAATAATTACAAATTACAAACCTAATCACAAATTATTCATTAAAAATTTCATCTAATAAAAACAAAGGTAAACAATAAAAATATATTTTTTAAAATTTATTTATTTTCTTTATAATAATATAAAAAATATGAAATTTCAAGTTATTATGAATAAGTTATGATAGTTTAAAGATAGAATATAAATAATAAAAAAATTAAGTGAATAATTTATACATTTATAATTACTTGCTTAAGAGATTAAGAATTTGAGCCTTATCAAGGCTCACGAGTAGTTTATAAAGGTATCTTAGAGAGGCTAAGAGGCCTTAGACTTATCTTCTTACCTTCACCTAAGATGTCACAATTTATACAAAACTTGTACACCTCTCTTCTTACAAGGATTATACTAGTTGCTAGTCTTCCTAATTGCTATTACTAAAATTATTTTTTTTTATATTTTTGGCTCTATTGTAGTATTTAAAAACATCAAATTTTCTTAGAAACCATTCAAGGCCTTCCAATTTTGCTCCATTTCTTTATAATAGCCTTCTAAATTAATAAAAAATATTTTTATCAAAGTCTTAAAAATTACTCTAAGAATTCTAAAATAAATCTAAATAAATTTTATATAAATTCTAAAAGTATCTATAATATTTTTATAAATTTTATAAAAAAATAAAGCCACTTTTTTACCTTAGATTTTTTTTATTAATAAAATTAATTTAAATTGACTAAAAGTCTTATTTTTTATATAAATAATCAAAAAGACATAAGATTATTTTTTATGTTTTTTTAAACTATTAACTAAAATTTATAATTTTTTTAATAAATAATATATATAGATAAAAGGCGAAGTTAGATATTTTTTTAATAACTAAAAATTAAAATTAAATCATATAAAAAATAATAAATCAATTAAGATAATTTCTTTTGAGACTTATTATATTTTAATAAAAAAAATCTAATAAGACTCTTTTAGTTTATTTAAATTTTAATTTATAATAAATAATTAAATAATAAAGAATACTCTTTAATTATAATATTTTTGTATTTAAATAATTAATTTTTTTTCTATTATATCAATTAAAATTCATTAGTAGGACTTATAAAATATTTAAAGAAACCATCAATAAATAAATAACATTCATTTTTTACAACTTAATCTTAGATTCTATCTATGAAAGATAGAAAAGAGTAATTTTTTTATTAATTTAATTTATTTTTAAGAAATCTTAAAAAATATTTATTTTTCTATTTTTTTTTAAGACTACCACTTTTGAATTCATCCACTTCCTAAAAAGAACTAGATAAATGAAGCCAATGTCTAACAACTTAGCAATTTCTTCTTTTATAAAAAAAAACTAATTGAAATTTAATTGATATTGGTGTTGTTTTATTGGTACATAATTTTTTTCTAGATTAATATAATTTTTGCAAACAATTCCTAGGATTCTTTGTAAGTCTTTATAGGTTCAATTTTTTTTTTTCAATGCATTTCTTAAAAATATTGCTAACTTATATCTTTATGTTTCTAAAAATTTTGATTGATAATTCCTTTGTTTATTTGCTTGGTATACGTAATCACTATATAAACTTCATTGTCTAATAAGCTTAATGTAATGGCTTGATTTGCAGTCTCTATAGATAGCTTCTTTATAATATTATTTTTTAATCCATTGGTCTTTATATTAGGTCTTTGGTGATGGTTCTTAATGTTATTGACTTCACAACTATTTAAATTATCATAAGAGCTTTTGG